TCTGAGTGTGGATATGATGATGGGCTATGTGCCTCTTCCTTTGAAGATCAGAATGGTTAAGTTTCAAGAGGCTTATCATTAGAAAGTTGGTCACCAAGCGATGACTTTATCTTTTTCTTTCATTATAGCAATTCATGAAGACTGCCTTTTAAGGCACGGACAGGTTGTGTTCTTCTTCACAATACCCATCACCAGTAACAGTGGCAGTATTTGACCTGGCAAACTTTCCCATGTTGAAGTTCAGGTATGTGCACATGTATGAAAGAAACATATAATGGCTCAGTAGTTATCAATGGGAACCTGTCAGTTTTTTCTTCACAGTCAGTTAGCATTGGCAGAAAGTAGAGTCAAAGATGTCTGACCCAAAGTTATAATTTATGGACTGGATGAGTGAGGTCCTTAGTGCATCATCCTTACTTTACATGGTTGTGCTTTTGTAGAATAATATTCATAGCATGTGGTGGCTAGAAAGGACCATAGAGTAAGTATTCTTAATTTTGTATGTGTGTGTGTTTGTGTGTGTGTGTGTCTGTGATGGATCTTTTTGGCAGTCTGGTGAAGTCTATGGATTCTTTCTCAGAATAATGTTTTGTGGTCTATATTTTTAATTGAATCGAATGTTAAATTTCAGTTAGAGGTTAGTGAAAATAAAGATGTCGGACATGTTAAAAAACTTAGCTAACAGAATAGATAGAGTGTCAGACCTGGAGTAAGGATAACCTGAGGTCAAATCTAGCCTCAGACACTTATTAGCTGTGTGACCCTGGGCAAGTCACTTAACCTCTACTTTATTTTCCTCATATGTAAAATGGGGATAAGAATAGCACCTATCTCCCAGGGCTGATAAGAGGATAAAATGAGATAATATTTGTAAAACGCTTTTTAAATCTTAAAGTGTCATATAAATGCTATTATGATTATTATTGCAATGTAATTTTTTTCTCATCTAAGTCCATGAACTCCCTGAAATCTATCCAAGGATTTGGGTTTGCAGACCCCAGGTTAAGAACCTCTGCCTTAGAAAGAAATTTAATTTAAACTTTTAATAATAATAATTTTGAGTAACTAAGTATGTCTAACTGAAAGAACAAAAGACTAAGGGGTGGGGTGTAGGGACCCAAGAACAGTTCAAAGTGTTTGAAAAGCTGTCTCAAGGAAGAGGAATTTAACTTTCTTACTTAGTCCTTGAGAGCAAAACTCTAAACAATGGGTGGAAGTCACAAAGAGGTAGATTTCAATTAGACAAAAGGAAAAATTTCCTAATAAGTAGAGTTGGCCCAAAGTGGAGATAGCCAGTTTCTTTTCATTGGAAGTCTCCAAGTAAAGGTTGGATTATCACTTGTTGGAGTTGTTACCAAGAAGATTCCTGTTCAGGCACAGGTTAGACTCAATGGCCTCTGATGTACCTTACAGCCAATAGCTTCTGAAATATGGAGCCTTATACACTACCTTGCTCAAATGAGGCACTTAGGAAATGGTTATCATGACGCATGATAAACCTCTCTCATTTCAAGTGATAAAACCGAGGCCCCGAGAGATGAAGTGTTTTGTCCCACGTCACACTTCCAGTTAGTGGAAGAGCTGGAACTGGAATCCAATATTCTGGATTCTAGGATTTTAGAATTCTACTCCATTAGGCTGGCTCCATACTGGATGATACCTCATAATTTGGAGAACTTAAGCTAGATTGTTTCCTTCTGGCCTTCTGTGTTTCACTTTGCTCTTCTATGTGGCTGGGAAAAAAGCTTTGGCAAAAAAAAAAAATTGTTATTGGTTGACTTCCTTTGTGGGTAAGCAATGAGCCAATCCTTCAGGGAATCAAGTTCAGTCACACTGTATGCCAGTAGCAGCAAAATAAGTTACCTTTGAGTTAATTAAAGATGACTCACTGGAATTATCTGTCATGCCCTTGCCCTGCTCTCACTTTCAAGAAGAAGTTCAGAAGTAGAGATTCCATTCGGTTATTTAATCAGCCTCCTCCTTTCCTCTGCCCTCCCTGTAATGATTGAACAGTCTTTTGTTTAACAGATGATGGAGCTGCAGTCAAGTGCAATTTCTAATCTGCTTTATTTCTCCTACTTCTCACTTTCTTGTAAAAAGTTAGGGTTCATATGGGTTCATTTAGATTTAAAACTGGAAGGGACCTTACGGTTTGAATCCAATTCTTACATTTTACAGATGAAGACACTGTGGCTCAGAAAAATGAGGGCATTTAACCCAAAGCGAGATAGTGAGTAAATAACAGAGAAAGGTTTCAAATCGAGGCCTTCTGACTCCAAATCTGGATCATATTCCAATCCATTGGGCTAGACTTTGGTTTTGTGTTCTAAGCCTTGTGATCCTGAGCAAGTAACTTCAGGCTTGTCTGTAAAAGGGAGATGATATCTGGCCTGCTTACACTGCACAGGGTTATTGTGTTATTGTTATTATTACTAAGATCACAGAGCTGAGGGCTAGAAGACTCCTCAGAGATCAGAGGGTTCCACTCCTTCATTCTATTGACCAGGAAATTGAGGGCTGGAGAGATTAAGTGATTTTCTCAAGGATATATAGATCAGAAAGTAAGCAGAATCAAACTTTGAACTTTAGTCCTCTGATACTCTTTCAGGTCTATTAACTATACTGTGCCGTGGATAGAGCACTGGCTTGGGCTCAGGAAGACCTGAGTTTAAATACGCCCCTAGACACTTACTAACTGTGCAGTATTGAAACAATAATAATAATAATAGCTATTACATGCCATGCACTGTGCTAAACAATTAACAATAATTATCGCATTTGATCATCACAACCATGGGAGGTAGGTTAAGTCACTTAATCTATCTGCCTCAGTTTTCTTATCTGTAAAGTGGAGATAATTATAGCACATACCTCTCAGGGCTGTTGTGAGGATAAAATGAGATAACTGTAAAGTATTTGCATACCTTAAAGTACTATATAAATGCTAGTTATGATAATGTTGATATGATGATGATTATAAACTATACCCATATTACAAACTAAAATACTAAATAAGGGTATGCTACTACATTGGTCTAAACATAGGCTACCTCAAACAGAAGCTGCATTTCAAATGACAAGATCTTTATGAAATTTTTTTTTAAAGTACTGAAAAATAACACTGATTATAGGTTGTAGTCAGGTTTTATGCAAGACAGATTTTCTTGAGGGGATAGCTATCTTCAGATCAAGAAAATACTATTATTATTATTATTATTCTCTTCTCTTTCCTCCCCCTTCCCCTAGCTTCTCTACCATGTTCTCTACCTCCTCTTTCCTTTCCTGTTCCTATTTCTGTTTTCTTTCTCCATTCCCCATGTCTTTTCGCATTCGCTACTTGGTTTTGATACTTGCATCATCATTATGTCCTTCCCTCACAATCCCATCTCCAGGATAAACTCATCCCCAGGAAGCTCACCATCATGGAGATTGCTTCAGCTTTGGTAATCACACTTCACTGATAACTCAGTTGCTTCTGCTTCTCACTGGAGGGCTGAAAGGCAGAGAAAAAAACTCCTCCCCTAGCCCCTCTTTATAGAGGGCTCAGAATCCCAGCAATTTCTTCATTTGCCAGCAGCTGCTCAGCTTGGTTTTGACTCCACCATCATCATTATACCTTTGTTCAGGGTTCCCTCTGCCTTTTCTCTCCCCATCAGATTGTAAGCTCCTTGAGGGCAGTGACTATCTTTCTTTTTATTTGTATCCCCAGTGCTTAGCACAGTGCCTAGCACATAGCAGGTGCTCGATAAATGTTTATCGTATTGCATGGCATCATATTCCCCTGTTTAGTTGCCTTATTCTTTGTCTGTTTTCTTCTTCAAGGCATAAGACAGAGTATGACTATCAGAAAGCATGGCTATACATTTGCTTAGGGATCAAGGAACTCTTCTACAACAGGAGGAAGTAGCAGCAGAAATTCTATGCAATAGCATCATGGATACCTACTTACTGATTTGGTTGGACAGGAGGTCAGTTTTGTCTGCTAACCACCTCTCCACTCTGAATATCATAGTCACATAAGTCTGAGTGGGCAACAGCACTGAAGATAAGAGGAAAGGAATAATTATAGGTGGTAAATAGTGTAATACCACTAGGGGACTAGTCTATCATAATGATAATGAAATGGTGTCTTAGTTTACATTTAAAATGTAACACAATTAATATTTTAAGGTATTATATCTTAATCATGGCTTACATTTACAGTTACAAAAATACTTTATATTTGTTATCTTACTTGATCCTCATCATTATCTTTGTGATCTATGGGGGGCAGGCATTATTATTCCCGTTTTACATCTGATAAAACTAAGGTCCAGAAAAGTTAATTCAGTTCAATTTAAATAAATATTTTAAGCAACTAGCATGTTCAAAATATGTTCCAAATGCTAAGAATAAATACAGAGACAAAAATGAAATAATATTTGCCCTCAAGGAGCTTATATACTAGCAGGCTTTGAAGTGTGTGATTTATAAGGTTGGAAGAATAGCAGAATCATTGATTTATAGAAAGAAGGTGTCTTTTAGTGGTCATTTAGTCTAGCTCCCTCCAGAGAGGGAGCTCCAGAGCTCCAGAGAGTTTAAATGGGTTGCTCAAATTCACAGAACTAGTAAACTGCAAAGTCAAGTTATGAATCCTGGTCTTCTAACCTAAAATACAGCATTCTTTCCACTATACAACACTAGGTCTTTACAACATGACTAATATGAAAATATGTTTAACAGGAATGTACATGTAGAGCCTATATCAGATTGCATGCCATCTTGAGGAGGGAGGGGGAGAACATTTAAAACTCACAAGCTTATGGAAGTGAATACTGAAAACTAAAAATAAATTAATATTTTGTAAGTAAAAAAAAAATAAAGACTTTGAGGCACAAAACGCCCCCCTAAAACACTAGGTATTTAGTTCAATTCCATCATTTTCCAGATGAAAACATTGAGAACCATTGAAATTATGTGATTGGAATCAGGATTCCTCCATTTTCATAAACGGTGCTTACCATCTAGGGATACCTTTTCCATCCACATATTTTCCTATGACAGAGCCAGATCTTTGCTTCCAGCTTGCTTTTGATGTGCTTGCTGCTTCATCTTTCTATGGAAACAAAGAAAAGTCTTAAGGTGAGAGCCTTTGAGTTTGCTCTAAACTCCTGAAAGTGTTTCCTCTATTTTAGTCCTGGCCCTACCTGGCCCTACCTAGCCCTGTACTTGTCCTAATGGCCCCTATTTCTATTCTTCTTTCCCCTTTTAATATATTCTTCAATGCTAGGCTTCCTATTCTCTTGCTAGTTCTTCATTCCTGTCACCCCATCCCATAAATTAATTCATAATATTGGAATTAAAAAGTGTTTGCATTTTATGCTGAAGAAGATATGGGAAAATTGGAACACTAATGCATTGTTGGTGGAGTTGTGAACTGATCCAACCATTCTGGAAAGCAATTTGGAACTATGCACAAAGGGCTATAAAACTTTGTACCTTTTGATCCAGCAATACCACTTTTTGGTCTGTATCCCAAAGAGATCATACAAATGGGAAAAGGACCCATATGTACAAAAATATTTATAGCAGCTCTTTTGGTGGTAGCAAAGAATTGGAAATTGAGGGAATGCCCATCAGCTGGGGAATGGCTGAACAAGTTGTGGTATATGAATGCAATGGAATACTATTGTGCTATAAGAAATGATGAGCAGGAAGACTTCAGAAAAACCTGTAAAGACTTATATGAACTGATCCTAACTGAAGTGAGCAAAACCAGGAGAACACTGTACACAGTAACAGCCACATTGTGTGATGACTAACTTTGATAGATTTATCTCTTCTTAGCAATGCAAGACAACTAAGACAACTAAGACAACTCCAAAAAACTCATGAGGGAAAATTCTGTCCACATCTAGAAAAAGAACTATGGAGTCTGAATTCAGATCAAAGCATATTATTTGTGTGCTCTCTCTCTCTCTCTTTGTTTCTTCTTCCTTATGGTTTCTCCCATTGTTTCTAATTCTTCTTTACAACATGACTAATGTGAAAATAGGTTTAATATGAATGTATATGTTGAGCCTATGTAAATTTACATGCCATCTTGGGGTGGGGGGATGGAAAAGATGGGGAGAAAATTTTGAACTCAAAATCTCGTGGAAGTGAATGTTGAAAACTAAAAATAAATAAACTTGTTATTTAAAAAAGTGTTTGCATTTTAAAGAGAGTAAGAGACAGCATAATCCTTAACCCAAAGGAATTCTTCTCCTGGCTTGGGACTTGGGAGACCTTAACTGATGAGCCAACAGCCATTTCTGCCAAAATAGCTCACCATTAGAGTTGGCTATAGACACTGACAAAAAGAGAAACACAAGACTAAACATCTTCATTCCAGTAAGAAAGTACATCCAGGAGAATTTACAGTGACCTATACTGATGTCATGATTCTTGTTGTTTTTGCATAGTCAAATAACTATTTTTTTCAAAGTGTAGGATGATCTCCCTACCGAAAGAGAATATAAAGGTACTCAAGAAATACCTTTTCACTCTTCATGCTGTCATGCCAAGTGTTCCTTTTTTTTTTTAATGAAAGAAAGGCCTAGAGATTTAAAAAGAAGAAAAAATAACAGAAGAGAATAATCTGTATCAAAAGGTTAGGTGATGAGGGAAGAAAAGAAAGGGAAGATTCCCTAAAATAAGAATTATGTCCAAGTGGTAAAATAATAACAACTGCCTCCAAAGGCTAAGACACTAATAAGAGCCTCAAGGAAGTAACAATCGGATGGATTAGCAGCTGAAAAGGCTAATCCCTAACTCCCAGTGTACTCAGTCAGCATCCTTCTACACCTCCTACACATTCTGATAGGGCAACACAAATTAAACCACCATTTTGTGACAGAAAGCAGCAGTCCTCAACTCTGCCTCCCACCCCACTATAAGGAGGAGAAGGAACTAATAGGAAAATGAAGGTGTGCTGTGCCTAGGGCTGTAGCAGGAACCAGCCACAGAACTAAAGAGGGACCAGGAGAATACCAATGTGTAGGCACCTACCTGGAGGCACTGCTCCATGGCTGAAGGAAAGGGATTTGGCATGGGGGGGGGGGGAAGCAATTCTCCCTACCCCTAGAAATCACTGCAAAAAGGGACCGAGTCCAATGAATATTCCCCAACACAGGAAGAAGCTGAGACAGCTTTGAGGTCCAACCCTCAGGGATCTGCCTCAAAGGGAAGGAGTCAGAAAGTAAGCAATAGCAGAATAAAAGGGGGAAAAAATGACTTAACTTACCCAAGCTCTTAGGAGGAAGACAGCTCAATTAAAAACCTTAAGCATTACAAGATAAATGAAGAGGGAAGATACAAGTAGCTGAAGGGAAGATGACCCCCAGATCATCCAAATGAGCAAAAACACCTTTAAATCAATATTTCAAGACAAATACAATGAATCCTGTACATTTCTAAGAGGACATGGATCCCCAGTAGGATATTCCCAAACGGTTCAAGAGAGAATAAGAACCATGAAAGCAAAATTTACAGTCTACAAAGCAGAAATAACTGACAAAATGGAAAATATTGAATCCATTGTGGCAAGTTTCTTCAAAGATACAAAAGACATAACAACTGGGAATACAAGTATAGAGAAAGATAAGGTCAATCTGGAATAGGAGAACTAAAAAGCAAAAATATTAGAAGAATGTAGCTTCTCTCTATAAGCAAAACATATTGATCTTGAAGACAGGATACACAGAGATATTTAAAAGATCATAGATCTCCCAGAAAAACAGAAGTAAAAAAACCCTGAACATTGAATGTGAGAAATAATGGAAGAAAACTATCTAGAATTTCTGCTTTTCTCTAGGTATTGGTTGCTGGGATAATGATGGCTCCTTGAGGGGGAAATGATCACTCCATCTTAAAATTTGGGATAGAGAAGGAAAAGAAAAACAAGAGTAGCTTGACATGCATGCTAGATTTTTGGGGAACAAATTTCAAAGGATTCAGCAAAAAGGTGGACAGGATGCTATCAACAAAATTGGATAGAGGAAATCAACTCAAGAAATATAGGAAATTCTGAAGAAGGAAATTCTTAAGAAAATGAGAAACTATTCATAACTTGGATTTCTAAAAAGATATCTATAGGAGTGGCAGTAGGGGCAGGTCAGGAAGAATGAATGAAAAAACATGATATAGTCCTATAAGAATGGTGTCAGGAACTCTAAAGCCCAGAATGAATTGGTAAGGAAACTTTTTAAAAAAGAGGGTTTTTTTTTAAAGTTACATTTTTTTTTGAAAGGAAAAATCAAAGAAGGGAAAGAACTCCTACTCAGGTGCAAGGGAAAATGATAATGGACTTTTGAAAGAAGCAAGAATTAATTATAATTTTGCTTCTATTTTCTCTTTGGGAATAAAATTTTGGACTGGAAAGATCAGAACAAAAATAGCTGATGGCTAGTCAAGATCCAAGATAAATAAGGAGATAGTAAGAGAATACTTTTCAGCCCTCAATTAATCCAGGTCATCAGACCCACACAAACTACCTTAAAGGATACTGAAAGAATTGATGGATTTAACAGTTGAACTACTGTCAACGACCTTTGAAAAATCATGAAGAAATGGAAGATGTCAACAGAACTGGAAAGGGGCAGGAAAAGAGTATAGTCTAAACTTATAGGTTTTTTCACTTGACCTTGATTTGTGGTAAAATTTGTAACATATTATCAAAGGGATGCTCATTGAACATCTAGAGAAGGATCACAAAGAGCCATGGATTTGTGCTCTACAATCCCCTCAACAATTCTCACACTGCTCTGGTAGTATCTACCAGCACACCTGCTCTTCCCCTCATCCCACCATTTTGTGGCAAAAAAAGGGACAGAACTCAATTCTGCCCTCTACTCCACCATATGTAGGAAGTGGAGATACAGGAAAGTGGAAATGTGTTCAGCTGGGGGGCTATAGCAAGGCAGACAGCAGGGCTCAACCTCAGAACCAAAAATAAATTAGGGAAGCCCTCCTGACTCCTAGACCTAAGTATATAGCCCAGACCTGCATCATCAACTACTTACTGGTCACTTCCAACTGGAGGACCCATAGACATCTCCAACTCGATATTTTCAAGGCAAAACTCACTATCTTTCTACCCAAATCCTCCCCTCTTTTTAACTTCCTTAGTTTAATTGAAGGTGCCGCTATCCTGCCAGTCACCCAGGTTCACATTCTTGACATTTTCCTCTCTGACATTTCCCATACCCAATTAGTTACTAACACGTGGTGCATGTACATCCTTAGCTCCATTTCAGGCCACACATTCTTTCCCCTCTTTCAAATTCTGTTTACTTCTCACGTGAATTATTGCAATAGCCTCTTAAATTGCCTCCCTGCCCCATCCCCATCCCCGCCAACCCATCGTCCACATGGCTGGCCAGCTGATATTCCTCAAGCATATGTCATAACTCTTCCCCTCTCAAGAAGCTTCAGTGGCTCCCTGATGTTTCTAGGATGGAATTATAAGCTCTTCTATTAGATATATAAATATCTTTGCAATCTGGATCTAGCTTAGCCCTCTAGAATTTTTGCATAGTCCTCCCCCTTTGTGCACTCAGTTTTCTACCCATACTGTGCTACTTATTGTACCAAGTAGAGGAAGCTAGTGATGCAGTGGATAGAGTGCTGGGCTTGAAATCAGGAAGACTTGAGTTCAAATCTGACTCCAGACATTTAATAGCTGTTGTGACCCTGTGCAAGTCACTTAACCTGTTTTGAGGACACTAATAGCACCTACTTCACAGAGCTGTTGGGATGATTAAATGAGATCATATTTGTAAAAAGCACATAGCATTATGCCTGGCACATGGTAGGTGCTTAATCAATGCTCTTCCCCATATCTGCAAAGCCACCTCTTTCCTCTGTGCTTCTCCACAGGCTTCACCATCCTCCAACATTCCTTTCATGGCTTGTATGCTCTCCCTTCTCCGGTCACTCAGAATCCTCAGTTCAGCTTAAGAGGCCTGTCCAGTCAAGTACCCTTTTCCCTGAAACTTGTTGCTGACGTTCAGTTGTTTCATTCGTGTCCAACTCTTTGTCAACACCATTTGGGGTTTTCTTGGCAAAGATACTGGAGTGGTTTGCTCATTTTATAAATGAGGAAACTGAGGCAAATAAGGTTACATGACTTGCCTAGGATCACATAGCTGATAAGTATCTGAAGCCAGACTGAACTCATGAAGATGAGCCTTCCTGTTAGAATGCCAGGCCTAGCATTCCATCTACTGTGCCACCTAGCTGCCCATTACTGTGTATTTAATTTGTGTGCATGTATTTATGTATGTATATATATAGGCACATAAACACACTTATCTATGTAGCTGTACATTGGAAAACTCCTTAAGGATAAAGATTATTTCATTTTTATCTTTCCATGTCTAGCACATTGTGGACACTTAAAATTTTCTTGAATGAATGAACTAGGAATGTTTAGATTGGAATAGGAAAAAAAAAAACATCCAGGAGGGAAATGATAGTTGTCTTCAAGTCTGTGAAAGGCTTTCCCATGGAAGAGAGACTAGATTCAGCCCCAGCAGGCAGACAGCAGCAATGGAGAGAAGATGCAGAGACACGTATAGACAACAACTTCCTAACAAGTGGAGCTATTCAAGGTTCCTCAGAGACCCATGGGTTCCATCTCACCACAGATCTTTAAAAAGACGGAATGACAGTTTGTTGGAGATGTGGTTCAGAGGGATTGTTGGTCAGGTATAGCTGGGACAAGATGGTCTCTCACATTCCTCCTATCTCAAAGATTCTGTGTTTCTTGTTCTGGTCTCATTTTTCAGTGTCACTGTGACCTCTGGCAAGTTCCTCTACCTGTCTGAACTTGTTTCTTCATCTATAAAAAAGACAGGGGGTGATAGTCCTAGAGGGACCAATTTCACTCAGAAATTAGATGGTTTCCTTGTCAATGATTTTGCAAAGGCTATTTTTCATGAAGTTCAGAGAGACTACATGACCTCTGAGGTGCCTTAGATTCTACGGCCTTCTCACTGTGTAAATTGCTAATAGGAAGACTTTGGGTGTGAGGCTGGAAAGGTATTTTTGGTCAAGTTGACCTTCCTTCTAAAATCACATACATGTAAATATCAGCCTATCTGTTCTACTGATAAAGTCAGTTCTCTTACACTCTTTTCTCCAAATTCCAACAGATAATGAAAAAAGGTGAAATTTCAACTAGTCACTTAACCTTTATTCTGCTTCCTTCCTATCGATAAGAAAGAATTTGAAGATGGTGTTGGTGGAAAGGGAGGGGCACCTTATGCTCTGTTTGTCCATGTCCCCTAACAGAAGTCTTGGGGATGGGGAGGAAGTGGAATCACATCACAGAAAGAATTTCATGTTGATCAGCTAACCTTATGTTTCCCAAACACAGTTTAATAGAGGAAAAGGATATACGGCTGCTTCCCAGGTGCCTGAAGATACGAGCTATGATAACTTCCCAATGAATCTTTAATTATTTGTCATAAAGACTATTTAGCAGTTACTTTATTTTCCCTGCATCTTTCATTTGAGATCATAATCCCTTTTTCCTTTTTAAGCAATCCTGAGTCCAGCAGGCAAGGAGAGGGAACAGGACATGAGGGTCATTTTTAGTCTAAAGCTTCAAAACAAATTCTCTGTTACTTTAATCATTAACACCTTTATTATGCAACTGGAACATAGATATGTTGATGTCAGACCCTTGGTAATGAGACCCAGGAAGGGGGACAAGTGTGCTGCAGGTCTGCTTTACAAAAGAAACCGAATTCTAATGAGATCCTTTGTAATTAAACCACCTTGGACAAGGCTCAAGGCAGAGCTGCTTTATAATAATAGCTCATATTTAAATAGCACTCTAACATATGTTATTTTTTCTGATCCTCACAACAACCCAGGAAGTAGATGACTACTCCCATTTCATAGATAAAGAAAGTGAGGCTCTGAAGGTTACATAGCTAGCCCAAACTCAGGTGGCTAGTAAATGGCATGGAAGAAGCCCTAAACCTGCTCCCTTGTATTTAGAGGCAATGTGATGGGAAAGGACACTAGACTTCAAGTCAGGAAATAGGAGTTTAATTCCTGGCTCTGCAAATCTGGACAGATCACTTGACCTCAATCTCCTTAACTAAAGGAGTTGGACCAGTCAATGGGTTTTCTTTCTTTCCTTCCTTCCTTCTCTCTCTCTCTCTCTCTCTCTCTCTCTCTCTCTCTCTCTCTCTCTCTCTCTCTCTTTCTCCTTCCTTCCTTTCTCCCTCTCTTTCTCTTTTAAGTGACTTGCCCAGGGTCACACAGGTAGTAAGCATCGGAGATTGGATTTGAACTCAGGTCCTCCTGACTCCAGGGCTGGTGCTCTATCCACTGTGCTGCCTAGCTATCCCCAGTCAATGGGTTTTTAACCTGTGAGCTGTAAAATTTGGTGGATTTTTTGTTTTTTGGCATTTTGATAAATGCATTTCAACTCAATGTTTCTTTTTTCTTTTCCAATTCTATTTTTTTTAATTTTATATATTTAAAAACCTGATTCTGAGAAGGAGTCCATAGGCTTCACCACACTACCAAACGAGTCCATGACGAAAAATATGGTTAAGAACTCCTAGACTGGAGGATCTCGAAGGCCCATCCCAGATCTAAATCCTATGAGTTTGTACCTTCTTCTAAGTGTCTCAACTTATAACCTTCCAGTAAAGTAGGAAGTAGGTTGGAGAATATTTTCCTTTATGTTACAGCAGAACATAAAGAGGCTGAATGATGATTCACCTCAGGTCACATACAAAGGCAAGGTGTGATGACTTCACTACTTGTAAGGAAGTAAGTCTATCTGAAGCTTGCCCGGGCTCCCTTCCTATCTTCCCTCACTAAGGCGCACGTTTGCAGATGCCCTAGCATTATCTTCACAGAGATCTGAATAGAAGCTAGCATCAAAAAGGGAGGCTTCAGGGTCAGTTCAGCACTTTGTGCTATTTGGGGATGTACACTCATAGAAGCACAGAATATACCAGAATTAGAAGGGACCTCCAAGGCCATCTAGTCCAAACTGTGCCTGACTGACAATGCCATCTTCAGCAAACCCAATAAATTATTATCCTGCTTTTGATTGAATACTTCTAATTAAGGGCTAACTTCTGAGGCAGCCCATGCCACTTTTGGATAACTCTACTTGTCAGGAAGCTTTTCCTTATGCAAACCTTTAATTTGTCTCTCTGCAAATCTCACCCTCTGGTAGCAAACAGAATGCGTCTAATCCATTACTCTTCCACATGACAGTCCTTCAAATACTTAAAAACAGTGATCACGTTCCCTTTTGAAGACTCCAGGATAAACATCTCTGGTTCTTTTAACAGACGCGTGACTATGGACCACATTATGGCAGAGTTGGTTAGCTTGCTCTGCCTTTTTATAATCGTGTCCTCCTTGTATGGCCAAAAATATCTAACGTAATTCTCTTCACCAGGATTTGGAGTTATCTTGGGCCATGTAGAGAATGTAGCTCAGTTCCTAGATGGCCCAATGCCTTGTCCGTTGCTTGGGGAAGGAGGCCTTGATTTATTACCTGCAAACACATGTCCCGTTCATCCCGTAGGTGCTTGTTCTTTTCCCTGTGAGACAGAAGGGAAAATGAAGCAAGGAGAAATCAAGTCATGTATGAAACTCATTCAAAAGACTGACTTATTCTGACCACTTCTTTTTTTGGGGAGGGGGGGTGAGGCAATCAGGGTTAAGTGACTTGCCCAAGGTCACACAGCTAGCAAGTGTTAAGTGTCTGAGGCTGGATTTGAACTCAGGTCCTCTTGACTCCAAGGCCAGAGCTCTATTTACTGTGCAACCTAGCTGCCCCTCTTTTTTGATGTGTAGATTAGTTGGTTTTTGTTTTTGGTTTTGGTTTTGGTTAGGCAATTGGGGTTAAGTGACTTGCCCAGGTTCACACAACTAGTAAGTGTCATGTGTCTGAGACTGCATCTGAATGCAGTTTCTTCTGACTCCAAGGCTCTATCTACTGCGCCACCTAGCTTCCCCTTCTGACCACTTCTTATGCCATCCTGGCAGGCCCTGAGAAACAGAGAAGGAGAGATACTGTAAGATCTCTTTTTCCAGGGATTGTGAGCTAAAGGATGGTTTACTTATGGTCTTTCTTGTGAGGCAGAGGGAGTAGGGATGAGTGAGATTAGGGATTACTAATCTTTTTTGATTCTCATGTCCCTTGGCTTTCAGTAAATCTTTTTGTTCCTCATATTCCATATGAAAGTAAATAAATTCTAGAATTCACTAGAGCTTTGTACACATAATGGAAAAAAAAGTTACCAAATATTCCTTATATTCCCTTGATAAACTTCTTCTCTCCCAGGTTGGGGACCCCTGATTGGCTGATGTCTTAAAGTCACTTTGATCATCAGAATGACCAGAGTTCTGAGAATTCTTACTAGGGATTGACTTCTGAGGAGGGCAGTGATCTGAGGGAGAAGCTCAACTCAACAAATCTTTATACTGTGCTAGATGCTGGGGAATATAAAGGGGAATTATAAAATCACTGCATGAAAGACAGAGAAAACAGAAGGTAATTTTAGGAGGGAGACAACATTACAGTTGGAGAGAAGAGACAATTATGACTTGAGGGGACATCAGGATTAAATAAATATTTTAAAATATAGGAAGACCTGGGCGTGTTTGTAGCAGTAGGAGAGTTATTAGTTGGTAAGAAAAGACTGAATAGGGGGTGGACGTGGGAGGGAGAGAGAAAAAAAGGAAGGAAGAGGGAGAGGAAGGGGAGGAGGAGAAGAAGGGGAGGAAAGAGAGAAGGTAAGGGTGAGGGAGAGAGAATGAAAATGAATGAGAATGGGTGAAAGGACAAGTCCCTGGAAGACAGAGGGGAGGGCTTGGAATCAAGGGCACAGTTACAGGTACTGGTCTTGGCAAGGAAAAGGGGTTATTTCTCTTTCAGATACTAGAAAGAAGGGGAACAGGATAAGGATGATGTAGAGGGATTTTGAGGAATAAGGTAGAGAAGGATGACCTTCTATAATGGATGGTGCTGACCTCAATTTTTTTCAGAGAAGTAAGAGGAAAGGTCCTCTGATGAGGGGAAAGGGCAGCCCTAGAGGGTCTGAGGAAAGAAGGCAGGGCTTCAAATAGTTATTTCACAAGATGTGAAAAAATAGTCAAACCAGGAAAAATAAAAGGATCGCCATCCAGCATTGAGGTCTCAGTGGAGGTTAAATAATACAAATTTATAGTAGACTCGATTACATAGTTGTGGGATATTCTCCAGCTTCAATCAGCAGCACCGGGAGAGAAGGATGTAACCTTGGCTTACATGAGGCATTACTGGGAAAAGGATTAGATGGTGGGTATTGAACATAAAAGATGGCAGATATTTGTGACAAGGATTGAAGAGTAGAGGATAGTGGATGGTTGGAACGACTATGGAGTCAAGACTGTAAAGGGAAAAAATTAAAATCAGAGATGCGGTGATGAATTAGCATAAAAGGGCAAAGTAGAATAACTGGAGTTTCTAAAAAGGTGAAGCGAGGCATAGGAAGAGATAGAAGGACAAGATGTCATGACCACAGGAAAGAGAATCGAGTTCACAGTCATGAATGTAATACAGTTATGGGTAAAATCTAAAATATGACCACACTTGCAGACAGATAACTTAAGGAGAAGCAATAGAAGACAGAAGTTCAGAAGACTGATGAATCAGCAGGCTAGTGTATGCAAAGGAACATCAATCTTGGATTGAATTGAATTCCCAATTGAATTCCCAAGCATGACAGCAGGTTTTAGGGGAGACAGGGAAATTGTGATCCAGGCACTGAACTTCTTGAGAAATGAATGGAGAGTACTAAGGACATGACTTGGGTGATCTAGAAAGGATGAGCCACAAACAAGTGGTGATGAAGAAGCAGGCTGACAGCATCCAAGTGGAGAGCTTGGAGTATGTCTCGTTCTCTTCCTGACCCATATTGTTAGAGGAGTGAGAGAAACAGTGCCTTGTCCATGAGAGATTGACCAGGAATACAGTGTCTTTCAGGTGAAGCCAGGTTTCTGAGTACAAAAAGATGGAAAGCACATGAGAGGTCTAGGGTAAAGTGTAGTATTTTTAATGAAAGAGCAAGGGTTCCAGAGGGCACGATGGAAGAAGAGTGATCTCTACCCTTTTCCTTTCTGCTTTCAGTCTTCTCAGAGCTATCTTCTCTCCTCTCAGTCTATAAGGGAACAAGGAGAATACAGTTGGATTGAGATGAGAAGAGGGGAATGAAACTAAGAGAAGGTTGATGGATTTTTGCCTTATCACTCGATGACTGAATCACAGGTAAAAAGGAAAGGGGTAGGAATTTGTTAGCTATAAGAGACTTGAGTAGGACCCCTACCCTCCAAGGGTTATGTAATGAGGAAGAATTGCATCAGCCTGTTCTCCTTCCAAACACCTAGGAGAACAGGACTGAAGGAACAAGGAGACTTGATAATGGGTCTGCTGTTTGGGTCCCCAAGGACCTGACCATGCTCACAGTCAGAACAAATAAGGGAAGGGATGACAGAAACCCAGAAGATTTTCCACATGTAGAGTATGCACTTGACTCTCACCAGCACCTGGTATCTAAGGTCCTAGTACTGGGTTGGGTCCTGGTCCTCAGAAACCTCGTTCCTAAGACCCTTAATGGATATAAAGTGCTGAGCCATTGTCTTACTGAGTTTGTTGAAGCAGGGAAAAGTAGGTTGTGTTTCTACTGAGGCAGTAGGTTCTGGGTCAAGAAAGTCTTCAATCTAGGACTGGGATTGGAGTTCTACATTCCTACCCTTGAAAGAGGAGCTAGAAAATAGAGGGATGGAGCACAAAGGTTTCGGGAAAGATAAGGTAAAATCCATCAGAAACCAGGGTGGTCCCAGGGTCAGAGTTCAAGGTTGTGGTGAGACAAGATAAGGAGGTCAAGGTTGATGGCTAGTGTGCAGGTGATGTGGTCTGGAATCAAGGCTGTAGAACTGTCTTATTCTGTTATGTTTCTAGAGTTTGACACTACCGCAAAGGCCTATTGTTAGACTAGGTATCGCTAACTTGAAAAAACTAATGAAAAACTTGCTGCCTCTAGGTAAAACAAAGAAAGGCTTGTACTACTTGCTTTTGTAATTTTTGATAATCCATTGTCTATTAATATTTTACCTTTCCTTAAATACTCTGAAGAGTCTCATAAAACTTACTAAGCCCCAGAAATTTGCCTTTGAATACACCCACTAATTTAATGAGTAGTTCTATAGGCTAATTAACATCCCAACTTTCTATGCTTTGTTTTCCCTTTGTTTTCCCCATCATTTTACTTTAAAAGTTTTGCTTTTGAGACCTATTGAGAGTTTCTTGTTATCCATACTAGACTTGGAATCTGTATAGGGGCAGCTAGGTGGCGCAGTGGATAGAGCACCGGCCCTGAAGTCAGGAGGAATTGAGTTCAAATCCTGCCTCAGACACATGATACTCACTAGCTGTGTGACCCTGGGCAAGTCACTTAACCCCAGTTGCCTCCCCCAAAGAAACAAAACAACAACAACAAAACCAGTTGGAGGAATCTGTGGTGGGTCTCTGGTATCTAAATATAGTCAATAAAGAAAATATATTCTGTCTATGCAGTTAGTAGAGTTTTAGTGGATTATTTCTTTTATTGCCACAGGAATGGACAAGAATGCTCAGTTACTGCATGCAGTATTTTAATACTGCCATATGAAAATAAAAGCAATAAGTAATATATAATAAAATAGTTGCAGTGTAGTTTGGTTCCCAAAGTTTCTTCAAATAGTATATAGGATGCTCCAAACCCAAGAGTTCTAGCAAAGGCACAATTCAATTTGCTTAGTAAAACCCTCTTTTCCTCTTCTCCTGTTACTCCTCCTCCTCTGGATGGATAAAACAGTAGAGACAGTTCAATACCTTTCCTAGATGATGTTTGACTCGGACCAAGTGCAGGATCCATCATTATGTGAAGATTTAGGAACCCTGGATTCAAAACTAGACTCCTCTTCGTTGCAATAGAGGGTATGTGCTTGGGACTAGGTACAGACCGAAGCTCTTACATTTAGTGCCTTTTTGTTCACCATCCTACCAATGGCACGGACTTCCAACTGCTGCTTACCACGACTAGTTCATTGCTTGTGCAATGGGGTTATAAACCAAGGGCTAAGGCAACTGAGAGAGAAACTTTTTTGCTTATTATCTTGCTTCCTCTTTTCCTTTTGATTGTTTCCATTCAAATGTTCAGTGACCAAGAATTGTGTCCCACATCTTTTTAATGTCTAGGTCCTACTAGTCTGTGGTACCTCTTCTTGCTTTCCACATCTCATCCCTTCTGCATGCCTGCTTCCTCTGTCACTCCCTATTAGTCAGACAAAGTCTTGCTGCTATGCACAGCAAGGGAGATGAGGCAGAATGAAAAGGAAGCTACACTGGGAAATTAACCCTTCTTTTTTTTTTAGGAAAGTATTTGCCTCCTTCTTTCCATAGTTGCAACTTAACTTCCCTCTGAAGCCTCCCATCTCCTCTGTTTCCTTCATTTTGCCCATTTCCAGATCTCCTTCCTTTCTGTCAATAACAGTTCATCTCTCTTTAGTGGCCATGTCTGCCTTCCAGGTCTGTGCTCTATGGCTCAGTTTCCTGATTTTAATTTATCATTCCAGGTTAGTTTGGTAACTGTGCAGTAATTTTGCAAAGGTTCCAGCGATATACTTCTGTGTGAATGTTCTGCTATTTAAAAAAACAGAACAAAACAAAACTCTTAAGTATTTTTCAAGGGTTTTCTATTCCTTCCTTCCTGTTTGAATTGCCCTCTTATTTCTTCTAAATACAAAGGCAAAGAACACACAGCTCACAAGTGGTGTCCTTGTACATCTCGTTCTGTTTTATTTTTAACCAGAGGTTTCCCAAGCAATAAGTTGTTGTTGATGTTTTCTCCCCCAATTTTGCTAAAACCTGGCCTTTTTACTTCCATATTCATTTCTTGCTGAGACTGGCTTGAATCATATGAGTGGTACAAATCTGAAATGCATTATATTTAACACATGCTTAAAATTCGGAACATTTCAGACACTATATGCTGTGGCCCAATTATGCTTTCAAGTAAAAGATTTCATAGTTAACCCATAAGGATGAATTCAAAATATGATGTCCTAATGAAAGGTACCAAGGAGTCTAACTCTTCCACTTTTATTCCAGCAATGATCTAAAAGGTGCACCAGATGGAACAATGGCCAAAAAAACCCAGAGAAAATCCGATATACTCACTCAGTCTAATACACAATAACAACAACAACAAAATAAGTGGAGCTACAGATGCTGGAAGATGTCTTGCCAAAGAAGCCAGCATGGGAGCTCACAGCATTGCCCTTACCAGAAAAACCCCAGGGGTCAATATCTATAGAGCCCTGGTCTGACCAACAGGTCTGCAAGGGACACAGAAGCAAAAGCGCTCTGACTTGGAAACCCCAGGGAAAGAAGAGTTGTGTTCACAACAGCATTCAGATAAGGGGAGGTCCCAGGAGACACATAGGAAGCAATACATCGATTAAAAAAAAATTCAGAGGTAAAAGAAAACCTCCCATTGCCCTGATCAGGGAAAGTCAAGCATAGAGCTCTGAATCTGGGGACATGGAAACCCTCCAGGACTCTATGTATAGATATACTAAGGAAAGTAGAAGCCAGCAGCAGAAAGCCCGGGAAGCAAGATCAGGACCAAATAAAGCTTGATCCCATCCAAGAGTGTGGAAGAAAATGAAGCCAGGCACTAAATCTGAAATCAAGAACTGAGGCTAAAGATATGAGTAAACAGAAGAAGATACTAAATACTACGAAGATATATTATGAGTCTGCATACCTTTTGACATAGCAATACTACTACTATTAGATAGAGATTTAAAAAAAAGGAAAAGGACTTACATGCACAAAAATATTTATAGCAGCTCTTTTCTGGAGGCAAAGTTGGGGAATGGCTGAGCAAGGCTTGTGATTATGGTGGAATACTATTCTGCTATAAGAAATGATGAGCAGCATGCTCTCAGAAAAACCTGGAAAGACTTACATAAGCTGATGCAAAATGTAGTGTACTGTGTACAAGGAAACAACAATATTGTGTGATAATAGGCTGTGAATGTTGTTCTTAGCAATACACTGATCCAAGATAATTTTAAAGGACTATAATTTAAAATTGTTATCCACCTCCAAAGAAAGAAAGAACTGATGGAGTCTGAATGCAGATCAAAGCATCCCTTTTTAAACTTTATTTTTCTTGTTTTTTTAATCTCTGTTTTCTTTTGCAACATGGTTAATGTGGAAATATGTTTTGCATGACTGCACATGAATAATCTATATTAAATTGTTTGCCTTCTCAAAAAAGGGGGGAGGGGAAGAAAGTAGGGAGAGAATTTGGGACTGAGAACTTTAAAAAATGAACGTTAAAATTTTTTTACATGTAATTGAGAAAAAATTAAAAAGGAGGAAGAAAACCTCATACTATGCTTCTGTGATTTTAGGGGATCAGATAACTTTGGAATGGTACTTCCAAACTGAGCTGTCTAGAATCTGGTCTTATGAACACCAGCTATAGACTTACCTTAAGAAATCCAGCTGTTTCAAAAGTCCTGTCTTTTCCCTCTGCAGATTTTCTGTCACCCGGTATACTTCCCTAGGAAATAGGAAGCCATAGAGTTTGTGAGTCACGGTAGGCAAGATGAAGGTGGGCACAGTGAAGAAGCCAGACTTACATACGAGTCTTTCCCAAAGGGATAAAATAAGTGAACACAATGAATAATGTGCCATGACAGATGATAGATGGGATTTGAGCAAGAGAAAGAGATGCTCTAAACCCATTTAGGAGATTGTTAAACATATCTTTATTTCTAAGTTCTAAAGTGTACCAATCTCTAGTCTGATCTCCCTTTCCTTAAGAGGAGTAGTAGTAGTAGTAGTAGTAGTAGTAGTAGTAGTAGTGTAGTAGTAGTAGTAGTAGTAGTAGTAGTAGTAGTAGTAGTAGCAGTAGTAGTTGTTCTTCCTTCTTCTTCTTCTTCTTCTTCTTCTTCTTCTTCTTCTTCTTCTTCTTCTTCTTCTTCTTCTTCTTCTAATACTACTACTACTTCTCCTCCTCCTCCTTCTTCCTTTTTTTTGTTTTTTAGGTTAAGTCATCTTCACTAAGTCATCTTCCAATACTTGCCTTTGTATTTCCAGCAGCTGGCATTGTGCCTGGCACATAAAAGATACTTAAAAAACACTCATTAAGCTTAGTCCCAGGTTAGAATAGGGAAAAAAAAATGCTTCTTTCTTCTCATTGTGAAGGTGGGAACCATGATTTCTTTTTCTCTTTCATTAAAAATTTTTGTCATAAAAATTTTTCCTACTTAACTGCTTTCCCCTTCTAATCTTAACTGCATTTGTTTTTATCAAAACTTTTGAATTTTATGTAATCAAAATCGACCATTTTATCTTTTGTAATCCTCTGTCCCTTATTTGGTCATGAACTCTCTCCCTATTCATAGATGCAATCCACATTTTTTTTTCATTGCCCCTCTAATCTGTTTACAATGTGACTTTTTATATCTAAGTCATCAATCCATTTGGAACTTATCTTGCTATATGATGTAAGATATTGATCTAAACCTAATTTCTGACAGACTCTGCTTTCCATTTTTCTCAGCACTTTTTGTTCAATGGTGAGTCTTTATCCCAGTCTGTGGGATCTTTAAAGAACATTAGGTTACCGTGTTCACTTGCTTTTGAATACTGTGTGTTCGTAATCTGTTCTACTAATCAACCTCTATTTTTTAACTAGCATCAAATTATTTAATGATAACTTTTGTAGTATATTTTGAGATCTGGTACTGATAGGTCCCTTTCTTTCCCACTCTTTGTTCTACCATATGAATTTTGTTATTTTTTTCTAGTTTTACAAAGTAATCCTTTGATAGTTTGGTGTGACAGTGAATAAGCAAATTAATTTACGTAGTATAATTTTTATTTTTTTGGCTTGGCCTACCTATGAGCAATTAATATTTTCTCAATTATTTGGGTCAGCCTGTATTAGCATAAATAGTGTTTTATAATTGTATTCATACAGTTCCTATATGTGTCTAGGAGATACGGAGATGTGCTCTGGCAATTGCTTCTGCAGACATTGCAGCTGGAACTACTGAATCTACTGAAAATGCAGAAAAGAAAGTTCTTACCACCAAAGTGCTTGCTACTGTCAATGGTTCACGATCAGAAACTGATATAATTTTCTCGGTGGAAATGACATTAAAGAGGATGCATTACTATCTGCTTGGCCTGAGAACCTTACCCTGGGACCATGGGACAGTGAGTGGTTAATACATGCTTTTTCATTCATTCATTTATTCATTCATTAATACAAATACAGAATGTAACAATCCCCACCCAGGTAGTGGTGATGGTGCAGAAGAGGTCCCTGTATCCTCTCTGCAGTAAGGCCATAGTAGGACAATGGTAAGGAAGCCTGTGGTGGCAGAAGGAGAAAGTGATGGAAAAGGGAGGGATCTGATAATAACTTGATTCTTCTGGAGGTCTACACGGAGGAGTCTCTCTCTCTCTCCCCACCTCCCATAATCCCTCTAGAATTCTCCTCTACAATTAGGCAATAATTAGAGAGTTGATGTGCAATAACGGCAAACAAATCAAACTCTAGCTCACTTCAGACAATCCGAATTATGCAACAAAACCTCCCTGTATCCTGTAGAGTTGGAAATTCCTAATGTTTTATTACCATGATATTTAATTTGAACTTGAGTGGAAAGCAATGTGTTTTCCATTATCCAAACTGGGTCCCCAGATACCTGCCTGTCTTGAGGATTCTGCCCTGATTGGTATAGCACTTAGGCAGGCTGCTCCAGCCCTATCAACTTTCACCCTCCACCTTTCCTTCTGACTCCTTCCCAAGTCTCCTTGGCCCCCTCCTGAACCCCCTCTCCCCAGAGAGGTTCTGCCTGGAGGATGATATTCTATTATAAAGAGAATGGGGGAAAAAAGCTCGGCAGAGACCTTAGGCCTGGGCTCTGCCAAAGAGCGTCTGTCCGTGCACCTGCCTGCTGCCTCGTTATCACATCACCCAATGCTCGCTGCCCACTGGCAGGCACCGAGCCAACAGTTGAAGATATAAAAAATAAAAAGGAAAAAAAAAGGAGAGAAACTGACTTTCATTGGTGAAAACTGTGATACTGAAGATGTCTGCCGGGATAGCTAAATAAATAATCAAAAAGGAAAAGTACATCCATTTGTGAGATATTAGTTAAATACAAATGTCAAGAGAAGGAGAAGGGAAGGGGAAGAAAAGAGGAGGAGGAGGAGAACGATTTCTCACTCTTTGATCCCAACTCTGACCTTCACAAATTATCATCTTCAACATGATCAGGTATCATTTAAATTAGTGGAAATCACACTGGATCTATGTGACATGAACCAGTCATTATATCTCTCTGAGAAGTTTCCTGATCTCAATGTATATAAATAGGGATGGCCTGCCTCAATCAATATGATGAGATTGCAGGGCATGGACTTAGGTCTTCTGGGTATTCCTCCCAGGAAGTCTAAGGGCATAGGGATCTCTTGATGGTTATCCAGGGACCTGGGCTGCCTCCAAGATGATTAGTCATCAAGAGTCAAAAGAGACTTTGTATGGTTTCCTTTCTTGTTTATTTGTTTCAATAATGGTAACAGCTAACATTTTATAATACCAGGAACTGTGCTAAATACTTTACAAAATATTATCTCAATTGATCCTCACAACAACCCTGGGAAGTAGGTACTACTATTATCCCTACTTTCAGATGAGGAAACTGAGGTAACTAGAGGTTAAATGACTTGCCCAAGGTCACACAGCTAATAACTATGAGGCTGGATTTGAACACAAGTCTTCCTGACTCCAGGCCTAGAACTCTATCCCCTTGGTCACCTAGCTGCCCCTGAAATGATGTAAATAATCGAATAAATACTTGTCAGGTAGCTTGTAGAAAGCATGCTTTTTAGGCCTCTGAGGCCACTTCCAAATTTGAAATTGTGATTATATATCTGTCTTAGATTTTTTTTTTCTATTGGGTTTATATATTTTTTTGCGTGGTTTAGCTTTAAGCTTCTTGAGGGCAGGGTCTGTGACATTTTTGTCTTTGTATTCCAAGTGTCACTTGTCACCAGCAGTTGTATAGAGCCACCTTCCTGCTTCTGAGCTGCCATGTGCATGAGTCAGTGCAGAGGGGTCTGTCATTTTAAGATGATCCCCCTGTGAACCATTGAACAGGAAGAGCAGATGATTCAGGGAACCTTTGAAAAACTGTCCACTCCCAGCCCTCTCTTGCTTTGACCCTCCAGCTAGCTTCATATAGCTCTGAAAATTCCCAGGAGAAGCAGGGAAAAGGTTCTCTCATCTTGTCCCTCACCCTGTCACCATGACTTTTCCTAAGGTAATCATTGTAGGTCTGGGGCTGCCTCTTCTGTTTTTATTCTTTCCTGATCTTAGGTGAGTGAAGATTGATGTCAAGATGGGTTTCCTGGAGTATTAACTCCTGCTTAGATCTCTTCTACAAATGCTAGAACTAGGAAGGACCTTAGATTTTATCTCATTCATTGTGCCCATTCTACAGATAAGAAAGCTGAAGTTAGTAAAGTGAAACGGTTTGCCCAAAAGAGTTTATCAGTGAAAGAGTCCAAACTCAAATACAGGGCTTTCTGGCTCCCAGACCTCATATTTATTTTCTACTATTCAGTTTAACAAACATTAAACTACTATGGGATAGTTGTTGTTCAGTCATTCAGTTGTGCTCAACTCTTCATGAGCTTGTGGACCACATCACTCCAGGCCGTTCTATCCTCCACTACCTCTCAAAGTCTGTCCAAGTTCGTGTTCACTGTTTCTCTGACACTATCTATCCATCTCATCCTCTGCAAAACCCTTTTCTTTTTGGCTTCAATCTTTCCCAACTTGAGGGTCTTTTCCAATGAGTTTCATCTTTTCACTATATGGCCAAAGCACTGAAGCTTCAGTATTTGACCTTCTAGTGAATCATCTGAATTAATTTACTTAAGTGTTGACTGATTTGCTCTCCTTGCTGTCCAAGGGACTCTCAAAAGTCTTCTTTCTCCAGCACCGCAATTAGAACAGCTTTCCTAATAGTTCACTTCTCACAGCCATACATTGCTACTGGAAAACTATAGCTTTGACTATACAGACTAAGCACTGAGCTAAACACTGACAGAGCTAGTCTCTGACCTAAGGAGTTTACAAAAGAATAAAAAAAAATACATCTACATCTTACATGTCTCCTCCCCTCCAGTTACACTGCCACCATCCTAATTCAGGCCCTCTTTATTTCTTGCCTAAGCCATTATAATAATGGCCTAATTCATCTTCCTGTCTTCAGTCTTTTCCTTCTCTGATCCATCTTCTATGTAGTCACCAGTGTAGAGGGGTGATCCTTCTATTACTCTGCTTAAAAAACTTCAGAGGCTGCCCAGGTATTCACTGACTGATTATCCTGTGGAAATTTAAGCTGCAGGTGAGAAAGAGAGGTGGGGGTGGTTGGGCAATAGATTTAGATTTTAGAACCATAGAAAGAGCCAGAAGGGACATTTTACAGATGAGGACACCAAGGCTGGAGGAAGTGAAATAATTTGTCTAAGGTCACACAGCTAATTAGTGGCAGAGCAGGTCTTGATTCTCCTGACTCTGAATCCAATGCTCATTTTACTGCACCATACCGCCTCTCTCATATAAAGGCAATGACCTGCTTTCCGAACCTAAGATTTCATGTTAGGAATTCAGAACCCATACAGCAAAGCAGGGGCTATAACTTCCTCCCATCTTCTGATTCTCATTCCAGTCTCTTTCCAGCTTTTCATACTGTCTTGAGCTAAGGCCAAGGGTGAATTGGTAAAGGTTTAACAATGACTGCAGGATATACAGTTATCCTTTCCATATTTCAAGTTTCTCCATCTCGGTTTTGATATATCTCAGGTCGGCATGAGAAATTAAATGGGAATTTTGGGGAGTTTTGCAGAAGCTGCAAATGACATGCAAAAGCCAGCAGATGACACAGAAAAAGTTTAGAATCTCAGAAATGCATAAATATGTATAGTATTGTAGAATACCAACTCAAATTTTACAATAAGGTACTGTAAACATCCCATAAAAGAAAAAAGAAAAAATTCAGACTTCTTCTCTAGTACAAAAGGGGGGCCCAAAAACTTTACATGGATTTTCCAGATTTCAAGGGCCCCATGCCTCTAGCCCCCGTAATATGGAAGGGATAACTATACTTTTAAGTGTAACCTGCATTGTTAATATTTTCCTCATCACTTTCTTAAGTCTAGATTCTAGACAATCAACAGAACAAGAAACCAAGCCCTGATTGGTATCATTTGCTGATTACTGAGGTATAAATGCTCCCACTGAATTTAACAATCAGCTTTCCCTTTGAATTTAACAATATGACTGGGCTCCAGCACACCCCTAGTTAAGGCTTTATGTCTTCAAGAAGGTAAAACATTGATTCACGAATAACCATTAACATTAGATCAATTCGTTGATCAGATAATGAGTTATAATCTTGGAAGGCAGGAAGAAGGGCCTCTATTCCACAAGACACAAGATGGCTAACTTTTTTTTAAAAAACAATTGGGGTTAAGTGACTTGCTCAGGTTCATGCAGCTAGTAAGTGTCAAGTGTTTGGTATGAGGCCGGATTTGAACTCAGGTCTTCCTGACTTCAGGGCCAGTGCTCTATCCACTACACCACCTAGCTGCCCCAAGATGGCTAACTTTTGATGGGCATATAGGTGAAAGGTGGACTTGGCATGTGAGATGTAGTCTGAGGCCAGGCGACATGATTTGCCTGTTAGCTCACCACTCACATCTCCTTCTCCTCTTGCAGCTTGCAGGACTCTTTCTGCAGACTCTCCAGCTGCAGCTGAGCATACTGGAGCTCACTCGAGGTCCTCTCTAATTCCTCGGCCAATTCCTGGTTGGTGAGTTTAAGTTTAGTGTTCTCTGCTTTGGTTTCATGCTTGTCATTGTTGAGGGCCATGAACTGACCTTCCAGCTAGAAAGGGGTAACAGAGGTCAGGAGAAAAAGACAAGTCAGTCAGACCCTCTCAGCCACCCTCCACCCCAAAACAGACAGACATCTCAGGCCTCACCCTCTCCCCTTGTTATTAACTCAGATTATTCTATTCCCTATTTTACACCCATATCTTCATGTAGGAAAGAAATCCTTTCATCCATTCCTTTGTGTCCAGGAAAGACTTGAGTAAATCAGCCCAGGCAGACCTATTCAATCTCTAGAAAAGGGAATTCTCTATCCTTCAGTCGTGACAGGATATTCTTTCAAGGGTTGAACTTAAAATCTGCTAGCACTGGGGCAGAGAACAATTAGGAGTGAAACACCATCCTTAGGTTTGAGTAGGTGCATTAAATCCTTTTCTTTATCCTTCTCTTTTTTTATTTTTAAAAAATAATTAATTTATTTTTAGTTTTCAACATTCACTTTCATAAGATTTGAATTTTAAATTTTCTCCCCCTCTCTCTCTTCCCCCCACCAAAATGGCACATAACCTGATACAGGCTCTACTTATACATTCTTGTTAAACATATTTTCCCATTAGTCATGATATAAAGAACCATTAGAACTAATGGGAGGAACCATGAGAATGAAGCAATAAAACAAAACAAAAAAGGAAAAGGAGAGCAAATACTATGCTTCCATATTAACATGACAAAACAAGAAAATGATAAATGTTGGAGATGTGGGAAAATTGGAACACTAATGCATTATCGGTGGAGTTGTGAAATGATCCAACCATTCTGGAGAACAATTTGGAACTATGCCCAAAGGGCTATGAAATTGTGCATAATCTCTGACCTAGCAATACCACCTCAAGGTCTGTATCTCAAAAAGATCATAAAAATGGGAAAAGGACCCACATGTACAAAAATATTTATAGTAGTCCTTTTTGTGGTGGCAAAGAATTGGAAATTGAGGGGATGCCCATCAATCAGGGAATGGCTGAACAAGTTGTGGTATATGAATGTAATGGAATACTCTTGTGCTATAAGAAATGATGAGCAGGCAGACTTCAGAAAAACCTGGAAAGATCTGTATGGTCTGATGCTGAATGCAATGAGCAGAACCAGGACAATATACACAATAACAGCTACACTGTGCGATAACTGACTTTGATAGACTTGGCTCTTCTCAGCAATGCAAAGATGTAAGACAACTCCAAAAGACTCAAGATGGAAAATGCTACCCAGAGAAAGAACTATGGAGTCTGAAGGCAGATGGAAGCATACTATTTGCTTTCCTTTTCCTTTGTTGTTTTGTTTTATTGCCTCATTCTCGTGGTTCCTCCCATTAGTTCTAATTGTTCTTTACATCAAGAAATTATAAAATAAAACCAAAAGAATGATAAAATAGAAGACAATGTGAAATATCTCATTGGAAAAATAATTGACCTGGAAAATAGATCCAGGAGAAATAATTTAAAAATTATTGGACTACCTGAAAACCATGATCAAAAAAAGAGCCTAGACAGCATCTTTCAAGAAATTATCACGGAAAACTGCTCTGATATTTTAGAACCAGAGGGCAAAATAGAAATTGAAAGAATCCACTGATCACCTCCTAAAAGAGATCCCAAAAGGAAAACTCCAAGGAATATTATAGCAAAATCCAGAGTTCCCAGGTCAAGGAGAAAATTGTGCAAGCATCCAGAAAGAAACAATTCAAGTACTGTGGAAAGAAAATCAGGATAACACAAGATTTAGCAGCTTCTACATTAAAGGCTTGGAATAGGATATTCCAGAGGTCAAAGGAGATAGGATTATAGCCAAGAATCACCTGCCCAGAAAAACTGAGTGTCATCCTTCAGGTGGAAAAACGGGCATTCAACAAAATAGAGGACTTTCAAGCATTATTGATGAAAAGACCAGCGTTGAACACAAAATTTGACTTTCAAATACAAGACTCAAGAGAAGCATGAAAAGGTAAACAGGAAAGAGAAATCATAAGGAACTTATTAAAGTTGAACTGTTTACATTCCTACATGGAAAGATGATATTTGTAACTTGTGAGATCTTTCTCAGTATTAGGGTAGTTGGAGGGAATATATATATATATATATATATTATATATATATATATATATATATGTATATATATATGTATATATATATATATACACACACATATATATGTATATGTATATATATATATATACATACACACACACACATATATATACATATACATATATATGTGTGTGTATATATATATATATATATATATATATATACACACACACATATACACATACACACATATATGTATATAGACAGAGGGACCAGGGTGAGTTGAATATGAAGGGTTAGTATCTAAAAAATAAAATTAAGGGGTGACGGAGGATTGTATTAGGAGAAGGAGAAAGGGAGAGGTAGAACTGTGCCCCTCTCCCAGCCTGGTGCAACAGAACTTTCACTCAACCATCCAGGTTGTCTTGGGCTAGAAATTTGTTTCACTCTGTGTTTTTGTAGGTTCTACTGATCTAGGATTTGTTTAGAGTCATTTTTTACAGGTATTTGGAGGAGTGTGGGGGACAGCTCAAGCAAGTCCCTGCTTTTACCCTACCATCTTGGCTCTGCCCACCAATCTAAGCATATTTAAAGAGAGGCATCATGGAATGAGTAACGGATTTAGAGTTCAAGGACTCAGGTTTGAATCCTTGTCCTGCTACTTATTACCTGTGTGACCTTCACCTCCCTGGGCCTCAGTTTCCACATCTGTAAAATGAGAGAGTTGGGCTAGAAGTTCTGAGATCCTCTCCCAATGTCTAATCCTACCTGAGTGATCTGGGACAAGTCACTGCTACCTCTCTGGATGCCATTTTCCTTATTAAATGAGGGAGTTGGACTACCTGCAGCCTTGAGGCTATATGTGGCCTCAAGGCTGCAGGTTCCCCACCCCTGGACTAGGTCTAGCTCTAAATGCTGTGATCCTTTTCCTCTATCCTTAAACCACTTAGAGTGGTAAGAGGAAAAATCACTGAACTTGGATAACGATAATATTAGTAACTCATATTTACATAACACTTGAAGTTTTCCCAACAGCAGCCTCATGATGTTGAGCAAATGTTATTTCCATCATTTTTACAATTGAAATAGAGGATGAAAAAAGTTAAGTGACTTTCCCAGAATCCCACAGCTAGCAAGTGCTAGATCTGGGACTCTGCACAGCCCTCCCTCACTTAAATCCAATTCATTTGCATGTCATGGCACCACCTCCCTGATGTCACGGTCCTCTTTGAGAACAAAGGACAAATGAGAATGACAACAAACCCAGGCCTTCTGACTCTAAGAACAGTGCCCTTTTCTCTATGTCCTGCTGTCCTGGGTTCAAATCCCAGACCTGTCACTCAACAGCTGCATGACCTTTTGGATGAAGCCTTCCATTTGGGTTGTCTGCTCCATTAGTGTGTGAGCTCCTTGAGATCAGCGTTGTGATTTTTATATGTATTCTTTATATATATATATATATATATATATGTACTTATATACTTAGTACAATGCCTTGCAGGTAGTAAGTGCTCCATTAATGCTTCATTCATTCATTCACTCAAATCACCTCACTTCCTAATATAGAAAATGCAGTATAAAATAATCTGAAGACCACCTTTTCTACCTCCTTTCCAGGGTGGGGGAAAGGACTTGGTAAGCAATAAGGTGCCACAGAAATGTGATCCTTCAACCTCTCTCTACCAGTTGACTATCTCTGTATATCTTCCACCTTTTCACTAGACAAAGAATTGTGCAATTAAAAATATAATATAAAAAGAACTGGTGTAATTAATGTGGCTGGTGGAAGAGAGACAAAGATGAGAATAACAAGGAGTTCTGGAAGATTCCTCAGGGGCTTTTGGGTAATTAGGCAAGCATTTAGTAATTAAATAGCATTGCCATCATTCATTTAATAGATAAATCTAATTGGCAAAAACTTCATGTATAATAGGAATAAAGAGAAGAAGAAAAGGGAGATAGCCCCAGACCATGACAAAGAGCAAGCTGCCCTTTACATAAGCACTTATTAACACTTGACTTTTCTCTCTCTCTCAGCCCTCATTTCCAAATGGTTGCTAAGTCATGTCATTTCTGCTGAGACAACATCTGTCCCCTCCTCTCCTCTCACACCATAACCACCTTGGTTTGGGCCTTCATCGTCTGCCACCTGGACAGCAGCAACAGCCTCCTGATTGGTTCCCCAGCCTTCTCTTCCCTCTCCAATCTATCCTCCACCCAGCTGCCACACTGATATTCCCCAAGCAAGGTTCTCATGATGTCACTCCACTGCTCAAGAAGAAGCAATGACTCACTCTTACCTCTAGGAGAAAGTGCAAGCTCTTCAGTTTGGCTTTTCAAGCCCTTCACAATCTGGCCCCGGCCTCCTTTCTTGGCTTCTGGCATGTCAGTTAACTTCATGCACTCTGCCTTTGTCCATGAGATGTTCACTGAATATATTTTTAATTTATGGAATAAAACAAGCATTTCTATAATATAGCATAATAAAAAGATGATTACACATGAAACTGCAATCTATTAGGTACAACTTGCTATTCCTTTTAAATTTATAATAAAGTTGTTATATAAATTTCTTTTTTTCCCTTTTTCTTTCTTCCCTCCCCCTGCCCTAGAGATGGCTACCATCAGACAAAAATGTGTGTGTGTGTGTAAAATAATTCTATATATGCTTCTATTTATCAGTTCTTTCTCTGGATGCAGATAGGGTCTTCCTTTCTATATCTTTTATAGTTAATCTAGAAATTTATAATAATCAAAATGAATTATTGACTCAAAGTTATTCTTAAAATAATATTGCTAGGGGCAGCTAGGTGGTGCAGTGAATACAGCACTGGCCCTGGAGTCAGGAGAACCTGAGTTCAAATCTGGCCTCAGACACATAACACTTACTAGCTGTGTAACCCTGGGCAAGTCACCTAACCCCAATTGCCTCATCCAAAAAAAACCAAACCCAAAAAACAAAACAAAAAAAATA